GGTAAGCACCTTTTTTTTGTTTCTTTTTTTCTTATTGTAAATTTAGGATTTTTTTCTTACTAATACTTTTTACCCTTAATATTTTTTTTTTTTTTTTAACACAGACTTTATTAGTACTGTACGTCTGTACCAATTACATTGTAATTAAACCCGTATTCACCATATATATATATAACAAAGTATCTATTTTCTATTAAATTTATATTGAAGCCTACATTAAATAAGATTTAGCTAATTTGAAACTTGTAATTACTAATTATTTCAATCCATTTTTTTTATTTGTTTTTTTAACCAATTTCTTTTTTGATATTTTTTTTCAGTTTTTTTTTAAACTGATTTTTTTTTTAATTTTTTAATTTTTTCTTTTAAAAAACAAAATTTTTCAGGTTTTCTGGCTCACCCTTTCCTTTTTGGGGTTGTTTTTTCTAAAACCAAAATTATTTTTCAAATATTTTTAATTTCCTTTATAATCTATACTATATTCTTTTTATATAATTTTTCCATATATTTTTTTAAAATTATTGTTATATAAGTATATTATTGTTTATTTAGTTTTTAGACTTGAATCTAGGTCAGTGATCAGATTAACACTATGGCATTACGCCGTTATGGTTAGCGCCTTTTTTTCTGATTCTTATTTTTAATAATAATTATTTTCCTAATTATCGTATTTTTTTGCTAAAATTTTTTTTGTTCTTTCAAGTAATATAATCAAATAAATGATTTTTTTTATTTGAAAAAACATGTTTTGCATGACTTTTTAGTTAGGATAAATATATATTTTTATTTAGTAAAAATAAAATTAGTTAAATTGAAAATTAATAAATTATAATTTTTAAATTACATAGATGATTTTTTTTATCTAAATGATTAGTATAATATTTTTTTAATATTGTTTATTTCTTTTATTAATAACAAGTTATACTACAATAAAAGCATTCAAGAAAAAACAAAACATTATTTTTATCCAATAAAACCTTAATTGCCGCCACTCAGTTATACAAAATGATCTGCAATCTATAATTAATCTTTTGTTGGACATTTTTATATTAAATACTGTTGCTTCTGCACAAGTTTAAAAAAGTTTTGTTGTAATATAAATGCCCTAAAAATACATTATAAAACGGTGTTACATTACTTAGGTATAGTTTTATAAGCCAAAAAAAAAAAAAAATTTTTTATTTTCTTTTTTTTTTAAATATTATTTTATTAATCTAAGCGAATAATTGGTGTAAAGTTACCTAAAATATGAGCTGGAATGGTGACTTCCTCTAAAGTAAACTCTTTAAATTTTATAACAAATGAAAAAAATTTTTTTTGTGACATATTCACGTTTGGCATTATTGATTGGTAAATTATGGTTGCATTAAGCATGACTTATGTAGGACAAAATCGGAGTTGAAATGTGCCGATTGACGTTAGAACTTGCTTAATCAATTTTGTATCGTTATTAACCAAGTGCCCTAATAAATACATAATCACGAAAATTTTACATGAATTTATTAGTAAATAAAGCTTACTATTTAGTTTCCTCTTTTAAATAGTTCTTACTATAACGAAATAAAATCGAATGGCAGCTTCCCTGCTAATAAGTCAATTTCTTGATAAATACTTTAAGATTATCTTTACATATTTTTCATTATTAACATCCTGAATTATTGTATGATGTTGTAAGATGTTAAATAAAATCTCGTTTTTAAATATTATTTAAAATTTCTAACCTACAGTACATTATTATAATTTTCTTTTTATTAAATTTTTTATTTTATTTTTACATCGTTGTTAATATATTTCTTATGTTATGCTTTCCAACAAAAGAAAAAATTTCATCATAAATTAATAAATATGATATTAAAAATATAATAAATGTTCCTTTTTTTATCATATAACACCTGCTAAAATTACCTTAATGTGGATGGATCAGGGGTATAATTATTATACGACATAGTACCAATATTTAGCATATCATACTTAACACTAGGAAACGGAAACCGTTATCAAGTCCGAAGCATTGTACATCATCACGTGCCGGACGGACAACAGGACATTTGTGAAACCGATACGAATAATATATAGTCCTTCGTTACACTTCGGACTAATAACGTAAATTTGGACGATTTTTCTGGAAATTTTATCAAATAATATTTTATTTCCTGCCAGAAAAATTTTACAAAAATTTTTTTCCTTTATTAAATATGTTGTATTGTAGTATAATTACAGAATTCAGCGACTACTAGGAAACGGAAACCATTTTAAGTCCGAAGTGCGTGCTGTTTAAGAGTACGTGCCGGACGGACATAATGAACATTTGTGACCTTTGCATAGAAGTATAGAAGTATATCTATCTATGTCTAAACTATATTACTGTATTAAATATTTACTTCAAAGCATAAAATATAACCAGAAAATTAAATTTACATTGTGTATTAGATTTAATTTAAAATACTCAATTATTGTTAAGAATAATGCAAAAAAAAAAATAAATATCAAAAAACATCAGCTGTAAAGAATCATTTTTGATAAAAATGATGGGATTTTATTCAATTAAATTTACTTAGTTTATTCATTATTTTTCTTGACAATTTATAAAATGATTAATATTTGAATTGATGATTAACTTTCTTAAACACTTTCAACTCTCTTCATTTCATGATAACAAATTTTGACTTAGTACTTAAAATCTAGATCATTCTTTCCGGTTGATTTATGCTTGGGTTATTATTAGGATTCAGGATATTGGGATTCGAGATATTTGAGATTCAGGATTCGGGAAATAGATTTCAAGAAATTGGAGTTTGGGAAATATGGATTCGGAAATTGTATTTTTCAGAAAGGGTCCAGTTTGGGAAATTAGTATTTGGGTAATTGACTTCGGGAAAAGATATATTCAGGAAAATGGCATTCAGGAAATGTTCCGACAATGCTTTATAATTATAGGCTTGGTACACATGCACTTGTGTGTTTTCAAATCTTAATTTTTTTTTACATATTACCATAACGATAAGAAAACAGAAATGTCAGCTAACATAACAACTAATCTCCCTCTTACTCCATTAGAAACAAATATAAATATTAAATGATAATAGTATAGTTAATAATATTTAAATAGATTGGAGGAGATAAATATTAATGTTAATTAAAATAGTAATAAGAGCAACAAAGGAAAATGGAATTTATTTTTTAATACATAAAAAATAAATAATAATTTTCGAACTTAAAAATACAATATTCAAAATATGATGTATTTATCTTCATGAAACCTGTAGTCCGTTAGATACTTAGATTGTCCTTTTTAAAAACATTTATTAATATTTTTATCGTAGAAATGGATTTGTTAATATAAGAGTTATTTACTACTTGACCATAATTTTCACACTTTATTCATTCTCAATTTTTTTACGCCTCATCAAAGATTAGTAAGATTAGTGCAAAGGTAATATGGAAAATGTGGTCTCCTTTCAAAAAATATATCTCTTAATACATAATTAAATAAATATCATTTACTAAGATAAAAGATAAATAAATTTTCTTTTTGTTTTAAAATTTACTCAATTTAAAATTGCATAATAAAACTTTTCAAGATTATTATTGATTTACGTATATACAATAAAATTTCGATCCTTCAATGTTTGATCATCTTCATAATATTATCTTCTCCATACGGAATGCCTTACATTTCTTTCATTTATCATATTTACTAGACAAGGTTCATTTAAACCAATCATACGATATTATTATTTATCTTCCTAGCGTAGAGACAAAAAAAGCTTACTGTATGTGCGAACTATAATCTGTAACCTTGATTTTCGTTAATTAAAAATATATTAATTAAAATGTTTATTCCAAACTAATTTATTTTTGATATATAATTTGGCAATGATTTTCTATTATAGACTTATTGCTATTTATTTTCTTGAAAATACAGAAAAAAAAATTATATGATCTACATTACCGAAAATAATTTTACTTCGCATTTTTCATTTTAACCATTTCGGGTTAGATGATGATCAGCTGCTTACGAATTTTCTTTGTTACAAAAATAGTAATTTTTGTATACAATAGTAGTACAAATAAGTAATACAAATAAGCAAGCGCACTTCGTTCAATTTATAATTTTTTCTTTTGCCATAATAATTCTGAAATTTATTTTTGAGTAACGTAGTTATTTATTTATATTAACTAAAATTAAAATTATAAACCACAGCTCAATTAATATGGATGAAACCCCAAAAAATTTATGGGTGAGTACTGATTATAATAAATATCTGGTAATAGCAATTTAATATTTTTAATAATTATAAATTATTTTATTGAATTTTTGTAGTTAAAAATATTAATAATTTATTGTCTATTAAAAGCGCCATGTTACAATTCCTACTATTGATTCAACTATTGAATCAGAAAATGTAGATGAAAGAGTAGTTTATATAGGAGATTTAGAAAAAAGAAAACAAGCATATGGAATATGTGGAGAATGTAAAGAACCTGGCACAGGAAAAAAATAGTGTCAATCATGTAATGCTAAAAGATTTAAAGATAACTTTAAAAATTGGACTAGTGGAAATAAAGATATTGATGAATTTATACAGCAATCACAACTTAATGCTGTATATCATAAAAAATATCTTGAATGGATACCTTTTGAAAAATTTCAAAATATCACTTATATTGCGGAAGGTGGTTTTGGTAAGATTTATTCAGCTGAATGGCCTGAAGGATATATTTGTACTTGGGATATTGAAAATCAAAAATGGTCTAGATTCAAGAATAATAAATATGCATTAAAAAGTTTGAATAATTCTTCTGATATATGTTCAGATTTTTTAAATGAGGTAATTTAAACTTACTTTTTCTTGTATATAAAGTTTGTTATTTGCATTTATTTCAGTTATTAATAAAATTTTTCCTTTTTTATGATAATTAGATTAAATCTCATCTTCAGATTCATCTTGTAGATATTATTCAATGTTTTGGAATTACTCAAGATCCAAATAATAAAGATTATATGATGGTTATAGAATATTGTGAAGATGGAAATTTGAGAAATTATTTAAATAAATCTGAAAATTATATAAATTATAATTCAAAAATTTATAAATTACAACAAATTGCAAGAGGACTTTTAGATATTCATAATGCTGAAAAAGTTCACAAAGATTTTCATTCAGGCAATATATTAATAGCTTATAGTTCTTCATATATAAGTGATTTAGGAATGTGTCAACCAGCAAATATAAAGCAAACAGTTAAAGAAGAAGGAATTTATGGAGTATTACCATATATGGCACCAGAAGTTTTACGTGGACAACAATATACAAAAGCAGCAGATATTTACTCATTTGGGATAATAATGAACGAATTTCTTTCTGAAGAAATTCCTTTTAATGATATTCCTCACAATGAATTTTTAGCTATTAAAATATGTAAAGGACTTAGACCAACAATTTCTAAAGACATACCAAAGTTACTTGCAGATTTGATGGTAAAATGTTGGGATGCTGAAATAAAAAATAGACCAACCACTAAAGAGTTGTATCAAACACTAAATGGATGGTATAATGGTGCCAAAGGTCAAAATGGTGAAATTTATTTTCAAATCAAAGAATGTGATAAAATTAGAAAGGAAAAATTCAAAAACAGGTCAAATGAAGATAAATCCAAAAGCTTCAAAACGCATCCACAAGCAGTTTATACTAGTAGACTTTTAAATTTCAAAAATCTTCCAAAACCAGTAAATTCTTCAGGTTTATCATCTTTTCAATTCAGTTCAGGTAATTAAATTTTATTTTGTTTTATCAAATAATCCATTTTACATTATTAATGTTATTTTATGATTTAATAGATACTAGTTATACTGCTCAATCAACATCAGCAAATCCAAGTAAGTATTCCCTTTATTATTATAATTATTTTATTTAAATTTACTAACATTTAAATACTATAAATTCATAATATACAGTTTCAGAATGCTTAGATGTTCAATTAAGTGAATTAGGTAAGTTATTATTATTTGTAATTTTATTGATATTCTATATCTAATTTATTGTTTTTTTTATAGAGCTAAATGAAATTTGTCAAGATGGTGAAGATAATATTGAATGAAGTTTCTTTTTATGTGAAAGTTAAAGTTAAATAGTTTAAATATTAATTCGTGTATTGAAGTTAGTTTACTCCTATTTTTTTTCATTTATACTTTATAAATTTTTATAATATATAGTACATATAGATTTAACAGATTTTATATTTAAGAATATTCTATATAAATAAAGATTTTAAACATAAAACTGTAACCAAAATTCATTTTTTTTTTCATTTATCTGTTATGTTTATATTTTATAACTTAGTAAATTTGTGAAAGAGTGAAAAAACTTGTTACCGTATTTATTAATAATGTTGATTTTTTACAAAAATGGCTAAATGGAATACATGAAATACTACTTCTATTTACGCCATAATCTGCAAAAAATTTGAAAATTGGATTATATAAGCGGATCATAATTGGCTAAATTTTATAGTTCGAAACCTTCGTCTAATTTAAAAATTGATAATTAATTCCGTGAGAGCATCATTTTAATCATATCTTAAAATTTTATGATTGATAGGCTTTTTAATATTAATAGATGTACGATGCCATCAAAAGTTCAAAAATAAATTGAATAGTTTATGATATGACTATTTTAATTGTTAAAATTTTTCGTAATTTAAAATATTAATGATGAAATAATATAATGAGAGATTGTCAGAAAAATTCGTTAGAAAAGAAAAAATTCAATTTATTATGAAAATTATGTAAATTGTAAATTAATAATTCAGGTATATTTTTTTTCACTAAACCGGATGGTTATGTAATACAAAAATAGAATTTTTGGTCAGAAATAACATCTCATTATAAAAAAAATTTTTTTATGGTTCAAACAAATAATCATTAAAAGAATAAAAACACCATCTTTATTTAAAAATAAATTTATATGAGAATAGTTTTAATTTTTAAATTCACTTAAAACTGATTTTTTTTTTCACCATTTTTTTTTACTAATATAGTTTTTTTTTTATAAACTAATTTTTTTCAAATTTTATAATATATTAATTTTTTATTTAGACTTGAATCTAGATCAGAATGACGTTGCAGTATAGTAGTATGAAAATGCCAGTTCTGGCTCACCTACTTATCTCATAATCTAAATCACCTATTTATATTTTTACCTACTTATATCCTACTTATTTCATAATCTAAATCACCTATTTATATTTTTACCTACTTATATCACCATTTTTACCTACTTATACCACCTATTTCACCTACTTATTTCCTTACATCATCTATTTCATCTACATATTTTTCATCCTACTTATATTTTCACCTACTTATCCCCAACCGAACAAGAAACAGGATTTCAAAGCGATCGCCTACTGTATATGTAAATATTATATAAATAAGTAATAATAGAATTAATAAATAACTGGTTTATGACTTACCATCTAAAATAAATTACAAAATAATTTTTTAAATAAAGAATTTAGTCAGTTTAAATATATGTAAACATTATATATATACTAAATAAGTAATAATAGAATTAAATAAATAAATAACTTACCCCCTATAAATAATTTTATAAATAAAGAATTTAAATATTATAATGACAATTAATAATAGAATTAAATAAATAACTTACACTCTATATTATTAAATAATTTTTTAAATAAAGAATTTAGTTGGTTCAAATTATAGTATTATATAAATGCGTAATAATAGAATTAAATAAATAACTTACCATCTATTAAATAAAGTAATTAGATATTATAACAATAAGTAATAATAGAATTAAATAAATAACTTACTCTCTACATTATTTAATAATTTTTTAAATAAAGAAATTAGATAATTTAAATGATATGTAAATATTATAACAATAAGTAATAATAAAATTAAATAAATAACTTATAACTTAACAACTAAAAGAAATTACAAAATAATTTTTTAAATAAAGAATTTAGTCAGTTTAAATTATATAATAAATAATAGTAGAAATATAAATATAACTTACACCCTGTAATATTATTAATTAATTAGTTAAATATAAACATAATACAAAGTATTTACTGTAAATTAAATGCATCACTTACAATCTAGTTATTTATATTAAAAATATAATTAGTTGAGTTATATAGAATATTAAACAGATATGATATATATAATGCATATTGTAATTTACCATCTGTAATACAGTCAATTATTAAATAGTTATTTAAACAAAAAATTTAGCTATATTACGTAAATAAGTAAAGTAAAAAACTAAAATTTAATTAACTGATAACTTACTAACTATAGTATTATTATTAATCATTAAATGAAACAATTATTTTATATAATTTTATATAATATAGTTAGTTTAAATTAATATAGTTAGTTTAAATTATATATGTATATTACATAAGTTGAATTATTTACAAATAAAATTTAATATTTCAGCTTGTTTGATATACCTTTAGATTCTTTGGTACTACTTCCTTCTAATTTCTCAATACTACTTCCTACAAATTTTTCAGTGCCACTTTCTTCAAATTCTTCAATACTACTGGAAACTGGTTTTATTATATTGCAAATTGGTTAAAAAATTTTGTGAATTCTAATTGTATTAAGTGTTCTTGCTATATTTGATTTACCTTTATCATCACTGTAAGCCATTAATATGTTTTTCCTAACTGAAAAAGATAAATATCTTTTATTTTAATTAATATTAAAACACTTTTATTAGTATGGTAATGCAAAATGCATTATGTGGATCACAAGTAGCATTGCATCATTACATGTACTGTATAACAAACAAATTTGCACATCCGTCTCATTGTTGCGCAGCAAAACCACATAATAAACTGAATAAATAAAAATAATACTTTACTGAAATTTATATTTTTTCAGCTTTGAAGCTACCTAGTTGTTTATACATGTGACTAATACTCATTAATTTCAGCATAATTGGGTTTGGCCAGTCATTCCCGAAACTGGAACCCGCCAAAAGTTGAAATTCAGGCCGAAATTGTCTGGCCAGCACTATACATTCCGCATTATGAATTTTGTGTAACATTCGTGTATCACAAAATTCTATCACAGGAACGTGATTTATAATTCTGGACGGACTACAAATATGACCAGAATTACTAAATAATTTTGGCCATGTTCTTAAGTTTCAACCAGAGTTTCACTTCGGATTTTGGATTAAATTGCAGCCACATGTACTGTATATAGTTGATGCTTTCTTCTTGCGGTTAGGTGGCTGTAATTTATTCTTTTTTAAATATTATAAATTTTAGTTAAGTAATAATTTTAATTTTATTTAATAAATTTTAATAAGTAGAATTTAAATTTTAGTTAAGTGATTTATAAGCCAAAACTCATAATAATTTTAAATTTTATTTAACATATCGGCTGATCAGAAAAGCCCCCCATAATTTTATATGCTAATGACGATAAGTAACCAATCAGTTATATAATGAACCCATCAACTGAGCTTAAATATTAATTGGCTTGATTTTTCCAATCAGCCGATATGATAAATTTTAATTAGTAGAATTTAATTTATCAAGTAAAAGGCCAAAATAAAGCTACCTATAAAATACCTTTAGGCAGACGTAAAAATCAATTCAGTTTATAAAAACCATCAGTTCCAAATATTATAAATATAATAATGACACCATCAATTATTTAACTTTGTTTTGCTAGAATAAAGATCAATTAGTAATCATATCAATTTTTTTTTATCGGTAATATTGATTATTTAGTTATAATCTAACACGTTATTATTATTTGTTATCCATGTTTAAGGAATCAGAAAAAACAAAAGGAAATAAAGTAAAAATGAAAAAAAAATAAAATAAGTGAAAAATAAGTGAAAAATAAGTGAAAAATAAAAAAAAAAGCCTAGGAAGGGGAGTCTGGAGTGACTCGGTCACCCTCGTTCTTGAATTTTGAAAATGTATCATTTTAGCATAAAAACAATATGAGCAATTAGTTAATTTTATATCCTATTAAATTCCATTCATTAATTATACGAACACGTAATCAAATAAAATGTTGAAAGATTTTGTGTCAAAAATGTACACCTACAGATCATTTCTAATACGCCCATGTTTTATTTCATGTTAATTTTTACCTCACGTGATACCCAAAGATTAACTTGTTTCACTTGACTCTTTTTTGTTTTGTTTAAAGAAAAAAATGAAACTTCCAAAATACAATTGAAATATTCATCCAAATAAATGGATAAAATTCAAATATATTATTTTCTTTAAAATGATATTCTTCAAATTAATACATTAGGCTATTTAGGCATTAGATATCTTTCTTAATTTAAAAATCAAGTAAAAGAAAATTACGATTATTAAAATATCAAACTAAAAGTGATATACAAAATTTATTTATCATTTTGTCATAATGCTGAAATTAATGATTTTGAAGAACAAAAAAAAAAATATTTTATTCGACCAATGTTACTTACTAATTTAGCTAATTCATTTATTAATGAATCCAATTATATGAAATAAATTAATTAAAAGTTTTGATGATTTTTTAAGAATGATTAAAACATATTGCTACAGGAAAATATTTATCCGGTATCACGTGATTCTTTAGAATGAAAAATTATCTAGGGGTGTGGGGGGTCCAACTGGTTGGTTACACAATATAATTTCGTATTACCAAACTGTCCCACTACCGTCACCCCTGAATTTTATTATTTTAATATATCCAAGACAACATTCCAAGCCTAAAACTTTTGACGCACAACGTTTCTAAAAGCCGATGTTCGAGAGTAGATTAGTGTTGGTAAGAGTCATATATTGGCAAATTTTCATGACTATTAGAGCGTTATTGGGTTTCTCAGGTCAAAGTTTTAATATAGCTTATTAGAAAAACTATTATTTCGAAATATGTATTAAAAAAATTTTTTTAAAAAACAATGAAAAATATATTTTTAACAATAAATATCACTTTTATATTAAAATTTTATTAAATACATTCTCTTTTATTAGTGAAAACTGCATACAACTATTTATTGTAGACATTTACTATAGACAATATTTTTTTCAGTTTTTTTTTAAAAAAAAAAGGTTTAAAAGTTATTATAAATTAAAAGTCTATATAAATAACGTTTTCTTGTAATAAATAAACTTGTTTTACTTGTTTTAGACTTCTAAATATTGATTTATTCATCATAAATACTAAAATAAAACTGCCGATGTTGTTTTTTTCTTCTCAGAGAAGGTCCAAACATTATTTAAAGTACT